CACTTTGCGCAGCTTGTCACCTTGGAGAACCACTTCAATAGATACCATACAGATCCTGGCCAAAATAACAATGGAACACCCAGAGTGAGGACAACCTGCAGGTGTACTCACACAATACCAAGAGCAATGTGGATGCAGAGTCTGCCCAGGAACACAGATCTGCAGCAAAGGTACTATTTTAAGCAGCTTTATTAAACATGAAGAGCAGTCAGAGCAGTGCAGTACAAGAGCCACCTGAGGCAGACACTCACAGATCTCAATCAAGTTTATTTTTGTAAGTAAAAGTGTTAAACCATACTTACATTTTTGCGTGCTGATATATTTTAATGAAGCCTGAAAAAAGTACAGGCACTTTAACACAGCACTTCTTCCAAACTGATATATCCTGCCCCTCAAAAGGGTAACATTAAAACAACTATGCTGGTTTTGGTACCCTCTCACTGCTACATGCCATGCAGACTTCGGCTGAGTTTTGCTTCCAGGTCTACTCAGTGTGCCTTGGCAGCTGGCTGACCATCCACAGTGCTTCCCTCCCTCTCAACTGGAATTTCCTGCAACTCTTGTCAGTTGCCTTAAAATCCTTAAAGTCCTCTCAGATGTGCAAAATGAAAGAGATGGAAAATGTAAAGAGTACCAACCAGCACGAGAGATGTCAGAATTACCAAAGGCACGGAAAACATACCTTTAGTAGCACTTGCCAAGATGACTTGCCAAGAAGAAACTTCAAACATTACAAGCACTACAATCTGTGGAATCCAACTGGCCAGAGAAAGCCTTGTGATAAAGTGAAACGTATCTTGAAGTGATTTAACTAATCTCCTAATATCAAACACACCTATGTATATGCAAAACCCTTCAATATGAAGGAAAAACAAAAAACCACAGGACTGGGTATCAGCTGCCTCATTAACAATCTCACTTTGAAGATCAATTTTAAGCTTGGGTAAATCAAAGCTTTTAGATCATCTTTCCATAAATTTTAATTTACACCTGTGCAGACGTAGGTAGGCAAGACTGGGGCAGGCTTTTTTCCATGGAAGCTGCTGATGGTGTATTAAGGGGATACAGAAGACGTGTGCATGTCTTCAGATTAATCTCCCTCATAACATAAGGTGGAGAATTAATTTTCACACCTACTTTTTCAAGCTCCTGAATTCTAGCACTTACCTACAAAGGACATTCAAATGCAGTAGAGGCAGAATAACAGTATTCAAAAAGCAAAGTAGTTTACACACGTCCTTTTACATCTGTTCAAACCCAACTTACAGTATGTTTATATGTGATATATGTTTATATTTGGAATGCACAGTTCTTGCTTTCATAAGAGAATAAATTTTTAATGCACAAAATATCAGGTAAACAGATATTAAATTAAATTAGACTTAAACCTCTTCCATGCTTCAGTTAGAACTGATGCAGATAAAAACATTCAACATTTCAAATACTGAAAGACATAAGCCATATAAGAAAAGCCTGAACTAAAACTCATGAGCTCACATCTCCCCAAAAGGAAACTTCACTTTTAAGGTATTTAAGGGTTATTATTAGATTATTTAAGGTATACTACGAATTTAAAGGTATCCTGAAGTACCTACTTCATTTAATATTTTATGACTATTCTCTTTAATAATCACAGTGAGAAATAATACAGATTCCATTGCAGACTAGAGTTCTGCCAGGCTATATGCCAAACAGTTGTTCCTTGAATAACACAAACTGCTACATAGATGTGTCTACCTTGTCAGAGTTCAAAAGTCAAAATATCGGAAGGAATTCTGCTTTCAAAAATCTCTAGTACCAGCAAAAAACCAGCACACACTGCTATACAGTTTTATTACAGAATTAGCAACATAACTTGACAACCTCCTCCATTCAAATGATATTTTTCAGATGACCAGACCCACAGAAATACAACATTTTGGTGATCCACACATCAGAACTACTTTTCCAGTGTTTTTCCTGGTCAGGCAAAAATCAAAAAGCATTGAACTGAGGGAACTGAACTGAGGAAAAAGGAGAGACTAAACTTTGGGTTGACACACATTTAAATGGAGTGGCAGTGAAGAAGGAAGCAAAAGCTGAAATGAGCTGCTTGGGAAATTAATTTGCGTACTGAGTCACCACAAAACACCAGGTACTTCACATTCAGGGCTTCTCCTACTTCAGAAGCTACAATGTGAAGAAAATACAGCAAAATACAGGTTATCCAACTCATCCAACCATGGCTTTATCATAGGCAGAGCTCCAATTATGCCTTCTATTTGAGCTCCAAAAGGGAATGTTAAGATTAACTTTGTTACATTGCAGAATTAGAAGGAAGTAAATGACATGGAACGATGCACCAAAAGGGAAAAGAGGATGCCTGGGAACAGCAGTAATGGCACACAAGGTAAAGAGATCACCTGGAACAAGGAATGGCATTGATGGAAATAAGCTCTCATTCTTGAACGCTCGGTGACTGCAAAGGAAATTGTCTCCCCTTGTATGCGTGTGGACATGTACATCCACGTAAATACTTTTTCTTCTTTCAAAGCTAATGCTGATGCAAACAGATTAAAGAGTAGCCAGAGAGTGCTTCTGCTGACTGATAAAATGCTTTCATCAGCTAGATGAGTGGGTCTTAAAATAACAGGCCATTTTCTGTAAAGCTATCAGCAATTACAAATTAAAGGCAGCACCCTGCTTCACGACACTTCAGTCATCCTACAAAGTTCCATTTCATCCTACACAAACTAACACTGTCCCTCTGAAACAGGTGCCTGCTCCAGCATTTTTATATACAGTTAGTTCCCAGAAGAAGCATTTGGCTCATGCAATGATAAACCAGCCTTAGATTTAAAATACACCAACCTCCCTTCCTTTGTCATGGGAACTGCTACACAAGCCTCATATATCCCCAAAAACTGAACATGAACTTTGCTGACTTTGGTTAATCTGTTAACTGTAAACTTTGGTTTATCTGTTAACCCTCTAAACAGTGTGAAGCATAGCCAGGTGTTTGATTAGACAATCAAATACATGGTTTTATAAACTGGGTAAGTAAGAGGCAAAATTTAATGAAGAATTGTTCAAAGTAGGTAACTCCTAAAAGGGAAACCTGAGAACCCATTAAAATCCTCACATCAGAGAAAAAAAAAAAACAACTGTGTTGTATTTTGGGTTTGGAATGTAAATCTTTATACTTACAGCAAAATACATTTTTTATGGAATTGTGTCCTAGTAAGTCATAGAGAGCTTTGCCACCACCTTTAACAAGGCCAGGTGTTCATCTCTGTCCACAGCAACGTAGAAGGAGCTGTATTTCTTAAAGAACCAATGTGCAACCTCAGAGATATACTTGAATGGGCACAAATGGAAGTTGGGTTGGGAGGCAGATCAGAACCACCAGCTAACTTGGAGTTTTGATTCATTGCCCAGAACATCACTTTCTAAAAATAAAAACAAAATTCCCTTCTATCCTTTCAGTCAGAGAAGGCAGAAGACAGAACAGAGGAGCTATACAAATTTGGCATGCCTGGATTCACAGAGCTCCTTTTGTAAAGGATGTGTTCAAAGAGATAAGAGACAAGACACGACACTTGTTGGACAGGGTCCAAGTAACACAGCAGAAAGTGTAAAATACCCTTCAAAAACCCGCACAAGTCATTTCTGTTTGAGAATGGGAAAGTTTCAGTCATTCTGGTATCTCAATGCAAGTTCTATAAGCCTGCCAGCACAGTTAGAAGACAAGTCCCAAGGATTTTTGGTAGTTTACTTTGTTTCCCCCAGAGGAAGAGAGAAGAAATAGAAGGGAACATGCTTGAAGGAAAGACACATTAGAAATCAAAGTGAATTCTGCCTTGGGTCTCATCCTGAGTTTATTCCACCTTCTGTCATGTTTATTATTTTACATGAGTAGATTACCCATAATTTACAGAAGGTACGCATATAATGAGGAACTTCTTATCAGAATGTAAATATTAGCTTTAGACAGGAAAAAATATTCTTCCCTCTTGTCATTCTATGGCTTGATACTGGCTCCAGCAGCTGCTACCACTCCTGTTAGCCAGAAGTGAAGGGAAACACAAGTCTGGCTGAGCTTGAACTCTGCTAATGCAAATGCACACTCTTCACATCAGCAACATTATTTTTTCCCTCTCCAAATCGAATGTCCAAGGGCACACTGGGACTTTAAAAAAAATGTTACAAAACCTCTATGGTTAGAGGTGACCAAAAGCCGCTCACTCAGCAGTGCTCTATGCACTTTGGATTTACTCTTCAGCAATAGTTCAGGGACCCAGTGACCATGGGCAATGCCCTACTGCTGCAGGGACATCTGCATGCGATGCCTTGGTCACTGGGCATCCAACATCAGAGCGAGCCAGCCTTTTGTCTCCTTCCAACTCAGCAGTCTGGAAGGAAAGCCAGCTGCACTACTTTGGCTCTCCATACTCACTAACAAGCTTAGATTGCTACCCAGAGAAGTCCACAGCCCAGGAAAATTAATTTTGACTTGTAATGTCAGACCTAAAGGGGAAGGACAAGCCAAGATTTTCCTCAAAGACATAAGTACAGGCCACTGTCATCATTACTGGCAGACCCCAAAGGCCATAGGATCAGCTGGTATCTGCTCTGCTCTGTCTCCAGCAACCCTACACTTATTTATACCAGCTGAGTATCAAGCTTTTTACATTTACACAAGGTACAGAAGCATCAGTGAATACAGATTCAGTAAATCTTGCTTTCTAAAATATTATTCATCAACGTATAATTCAAATGGTAATTAAGAAGTGTTCACATGATTGATGACACATTTAAATTACAGGTTTCCAGCAATTTTTTTTCTCTAAAGAAAAGACAACTTCCTTTTTCACGTGCCGTTTAGCGAAGTGCAAGTCCATCTAACAGATGTCTCACAGATCTGCTTGTCAATGTAACAAGTTAAGACTTTTTTTTTATTACGACAAATGGTATAAACCACACAGCATTCTGTTAAACTCAATATTGACACATCTGCTTACCACGTGTATTAGTAGCCATGTCAGCCACTTTCTGAAAGGCATCCAAAAAGGCAGCAGCTGCTACTACTGTAGTCCTGAAATGCATACAGATAACAAAACATTAGCAGTGTCTCATTGATGCCTATTTAATTACTGCCAAAAACATTTAGGCTTATAAAGAATAACACTGTGAACTTGCAGAGGCCACAAAAAGTATCCTCTTTTATATCTGAATTTAGCCTTTTCCCTCCTTCATTTCTTAATCCCTTCCTTGCTTTGTGTTAGCACTATGGACTTGGAGGCAGTCACGCTAATTCCATGCTGAGAATTGCACAGGACAGGTGCTGTTTCAAAAGAGCACAGCCATCCTTCTTCTAGCTGATTTCCTCTGATGAACTAATATCAAGCAGTCAAACATGAAAAACAAATCTAACACACATTGTACCGCACCCATTAGTGTACAAATTACAGCCACTGCTATTTCAAGGGAACATGTATATTTTAAGAATAAACGTGCAGGAACTTCCTTTTATCTAGGACCCTGGCCAAACAATTTCCTGAGTTTTTCATCTAGGGAGCATGAGCATCCCTTGAAAAAAAATAGTGACTTCTTGGAAATCAGACTAGTCTGGAGTTCTTGGGCAAACGGAAAAGTGGGAAAAGAATCTCCACTTCAAGGGAAAAAAAAAAACCAAAACAACCACAAAAACACCAATCCCCCTAAATAAACAAACAAAACCCCTTTCTGTTCCAGTGCTCCTCTAAACAGGACTGCTCCTGAGAGGTACACCAGCAATCCCAGAGACTTCACAATCCAGTGTCAACCCCACTAGCCCAATCTCCCTCCACATCTGGAAAGCACGCACAGACCACGCATATGTTCAAGTGAACAGCAAACGTGAGTCACAATTTTCCAAACACATTTGTTCTAGATAACCAGGCCCCAGAGCCCCAAACACCTCAGGTCAGTCCAGATTTCTGAAGGTTTATAGTCTGCTCAACCCAATTAAAGTGGAAGTAGGCCAGGGCTCTACAGGTAAAGCACAACTGTGCCCTCTCCACGGTTACCTCGTGGTTCTGTTTCCGTGCATCTTTTCTAACAGTAACTCCGATTTTCTCTCCTGATGGCATCAGTCAGCCTTTCCAAGTAAAATCCAGAATGGGGACTACCAACTTCATTTTGTTTCAAGAACTCCTTCCTAGCCTCAGAAAACCTGGCAGACCTGCAGGGAAGCTGATCCTTGGCCAGAAAGACTGCAGGACTGCTTAATTAGGTCAGATTTTATGCGAGTCTCACTCCAAAAATGCTCAAGATACAGCGGACATAACTGGCAGCGTAGTAAATGGCCTACTGACAGCACAAAAGATTTGAACACACACAGAAAAAAACACCCCAGGCATGAAAGGACCAACCAAATGCATAAGGACTCTCCACATGCCCAGGAGATTAAAGGGAGGGCAAGAAAACCCCCGACAGCTAGCTAGCAATATTGAGCCCTGAAACCAGATAACCTTTTCCGGGATTTTCTTCAGCAGTGTTTGAGTTCATCTTCCAAACTTGTGGGCCAAGCTGTTATTCATGTACCATGTTGTTAATTATTAATTATATTGCTAATAACAAAGTTCCATTTCTCCAGTAACAAGATCCAGGAAGACCTGGCTCCAGCTCAGATGACATCTGCTGTCCTTTATCAAAGCACACGGAAATGAAACAGAGGCAAAAGGCTCACATTTGCTAGAAACAAACAGCAAATCCTCGAACACAGGCTTTCAAGCCGCCTATCTGCATGTTCCTGTAGCACTGCATTGATCGAATGCAACAGCACAGGACTGGGAAATACACAAAACTATCCCTCATGCCACCCCAGAAGGCCTGTTTCTAAAGAGTACCAAAAGGCTAGGAAAGTTCTCCATTTGCCTTCTTTCTCTCCCTCCTCTGCATCTTCCATCCTCCTCAAGGTGACATAATTGCTGGAAAAGGATAAACCACGTGCAAGTGTGGCACTTTAGGCACAGTGTGGCAGAACAACATACTCCAGCCATTTAGGGCAAATGAGGCTAAACTCTAGCTTCTTCAGGAGCAGTTCATAACACAACACAGAACCACAAACCAGACTGCCAATAACCTGTTCCTGCTGCTGGGAAAAAAACACTGAAGTGAATATTGTGGTTTGGGGGGAGCTGTGAAGAACTGGAACTTGTATTCAGATTAGCAAAAATCAACTTTACAAGTGAATGAATTCTAGAGATAGCAGAATTGTTCTGAGTGTGATACTAATGGTACTTATTAAGTAATCCAGAATGCTGTTTTCAAAGTATACCCCAATAACCTAAGTTTTAATCATCACCAATACATGATCCAGCAAAGGAATTCCCTTCAATTTTAAGGCAGAAGAAAGTGCTGTTAAGACTGCCAAAGATTTTTTAGTATTTTAAACCCTCTTCTAATATAGCCTCTCTGTATTCTACACTAATAATAAGAGCAACATAGGGTTAACTCCAAATGTGTGCTCACTAAACAACAACAAACTATCTTCCCAGTTTTCCATCAAAATCCATGAAATTTAGCTCATTTTGTGTTTATTATGTACAGTTGTTTGTAGATTATGAATTTTCATAAATACATTAAAACACCAGTAGTAATGTATGAAAAATTACATGCATGGGTGTTGACTATGAAATATGCACAATTTTACTAGCAAATTATCCTGGCAAAAGCTGCATTTAATCTTAATGTTTGCACATGCAAGGAACTGTAGGGGATCTTGACTCTGTAACACAAAACTTACCGAAGCTGAGACTGCAGTTTCCCAGCTTTATTTATAAAATCTTCCCACACTGGGTAACTTCCCTGCAAGAAAAACAAAACACAACAATGAATACCTATTTTGAGCATTCTGGTTTGGATACTACAGATCAAATAAAACTAGATGTAAAGCAATAACCAAGACTGTGTTAAATCCTTATCCACTAACACCAAAATAAGTTTTCCCAGAAAGTTCTCTCTCACATCCTTAGACACCAGTTCCAAGCAGATGAGATGTCAACTGGTTCTGAATCCAGATGAAACTGCAGGTCCTCTGATGAGGCTTTAGAGAGTTTCCAAATAGAAACACTGGGCAAAAAGAAGCAGCAAAAAGAAATGCCTTACTTTGGATGGATACAGCAAAACCAAATCCATTTGAAGGGGGTGCTAGGATATTGCAACAACATGTACACAGAAGCTCTCAAAATCAATGGCAGGATCACAGTTGTTTTTTTATCTGTGTTTTTACCAGGTTCCCATCCTCTTTTTAAAAAATAAAATAAAGTAATTTTTCAAAGCCTGTATAATAAAAGTTTGGCTTGACCAAGAAACGACCTCGAACACTGCCCCAAAGTAACTCAGCAATCAAACACAGAATAGGCACATGACAGCACAAGACAACAAACTTTCCCAACAGCTGCCTTGTCACTGCAAGACCTGATTCCAAAACAGTCCTGAATGACCTTGGAGACAATTTCTGAACTGAAGCTGATAAAGCAGCGTGGCATTGAGTGTATGCAAAGTGTTTAAGAAGGTTTAATTTTTCCTGACCTCAAGTTTCCTGTAAAACTTTCCCCATTTTTTAAAACTGTGTTAAAAGGCCAGAGTTGTTTATTTTTTTAGGATACGGACACCACATGTTCTTGCAAGTTCTGATCTTTATTTTTCAAAGTTAAAAAAAAAATAATTTTTTTTTAGACCAGAAAATGGTTAACTTGGGTTAACATGCAGAGCAAGTACAAATTTTCTACTAACAGCAGAAACTGTGGTAAAAAGAAACCTCAAAATTTCCCTTTGATTGGAGTCTAGAGAGTAAAACAAAATATCCCTGCTTCCTTTAATAAAGATGTAAGACTTGCTGTTACCAGAGCAACAACACAATAAAACCCAGATAAGGCAGGTCCTCAAGGCTAACCTTACCCCAGTTCCGACTGGAAGAGGTTGCAAGCAAGTGCACTTGCTTGTAACAAACTTAATCCACCCCCATAAACTGGTCTGCTTTTCATAAGTAAACAAAAATCCATTGCCCACACTGCCATGAGAGGCCATTTTTTGTGTAGGGCAAAGACAGACCCTTCCCTTCCCCAAAAGCTGGGAGATTCCAGCTCCTCAGTACACCCCAGCAAGGCACCTTCCAGACACTTGCTGGGGGGCCTACTGGTACTCTACATATTTTTTCAGTAAGGTTTGTGGTTTTTTTGCTAAAAGAAAATGAAAAAAAACCAAAACAAAATCGGGAGCATGGGAGGGGGGGGTGTAAAAAAGCAAAGCAAACAGGTGTTCATAAAACCTTGCTATACCTACACACGATGGAGCCAGTGGGAGATGCAGATGGGGAAAGGGAAAATAGCAGTTATCTGGGTGGCAAGACCTAGAATATAAAGTGCCTTGATAAGCAAAAACTGTCAGACATTTTAAAAATGAAATAAACCCACCAATTATTTGAAAGAGGGGAAAAAACCACTATTTCCTTAAACCTATTAGTCTTACTGCAATCCCCTGCTCTGAACCCGGCCTCTCAATGTCGCCTGCACTCCATGCATGCATTATGCATGTGTATGCCAGGAGCCCTAAGAGCCCTGACAAATAACAGCAGGCCCGAGGCTTTACTGGATTCTCCAGCAAAACGCAAGCCGGCAAGCAGAGGATACCAAAGCAGCCTGATTATGTTTCCGTCTCGTCTCTGTATTATCCAGCTAAACACTCCTGATGGCATGCAGAAGATTGACACCAGCCTGGCCTGTAGCTGCCTCCCTGGGAAGCTTAAGACACACTCCTATCAAAACACAGCTCAGCAATAAAAAATCCTTTTTTTTTTTTGTGCTCAGCCTGGCCACAAAGCAAGCAAAATTGGAAAAGTCGTCAAGCATTTCCACTATTTAGTCCTTGCCTTTAAAAATGCTGTTCCCTTCAAGCTAAGCCTGCTCAAATAAACTATAACAGCTCACTAGATCAAATAGTTCGCTATATTTGTTTGGATGAAATGAATGCAGTGCCTTCACCTTGGCTCTGCTATACTGGCCAAGGGCACTTGATCTCATTTTGAACAGTAGAAAAATGGAGCTTTTTGCGTTTTTTAATGTCAGTGAATTAATACTTGGGGTGGTGAATTTTGCTGGGGTTCTTTTTTTGTTTGTTTTTCAATTTTTAAAGAAAACCTTTCAGCAGTATTACACCAGCAATGAATTTCTGCATTATCTGCTCAGCTTGCCACATCTTGGTCTGTTTGCAATTCCAAATTCTCTCTATTAAACTCTGCTGAAAATTAAGAGGCATTTATTTTATGTGGGTTCCAGAAGAACTTCCTTTTACTTTTCCATGCTGGATCCACATCCACAAGCTCATCTCTCCCTCAGGAACACACAACTGAAGTCATGCACATAAACTGTCATCCCTTTGAGCTTTTCCAAAGAACACTTCCACCATCACATCCCTGCTGAAACCAAAACCCCCTTTACTCCTACCTACAGCAGAAATGCACACCATCTACCACTTCACAAGACCAAATAAGTGGAGGTTTATCACACCTCCAGCACCTAGGAAGGAAGAAGCCATTTAGTGATGCTTGTAGGGACAAACCAAAGAGATGACAGGAATCAAACTAGTGCTGTAAATCTGCACAGCTTCAAGTGCCCTGGGCAGCGACTCCTTCTCCAAGACCTCTTCACGTGCTACCTTGGAACACAGCAACCCAGTTCTCATTCCGTGTCTCACTTCTGCGTTTGCAGCAATTAGTTCTTGCTTTTGTCAAAGAGGCATCAAGAGAAATGTTAACAGTGATGGAAAACACACACTGAAAGAGCCATAAAACTTCATCCTTCATTTAATGTGTGTTACTTTCTCAATTTAAACACAAAGAAACAGCAGATGGAATTCAACGTCTTCATACAATAAATCCTTTTGCAACATAAAGCCACTTCTGAAGAATAACACCACAGTCTTTTTAAATGCTGCCTCTCCTGGAGTTCTCTCTGCTTCCTCTACAATTTCGGATTTCAGCCAGCTGATAAAAGAAATCAATTTTGCCCCCTTTAAATGCCAGGGTTACTAAGGCCTGGCATTACCTTTGAAAGCAGGAGGCCTCCCCCAGCTCCAGCCCCGCTTGGAGAAGAGCTGCAGCAGGATTTTGGGTCACAAATCCCCGTTTAGCTTCTCGTGGGTTAAACAGAGATGGATTACAGTGAAGGTTTGTTTCAATAATCTTGAAAATTGTTAATGGATTAATCTGAGGACTATTTCCCCCAGAACTGTGCCCAATTATTTCTTCACCACTGAATGAAGAAAGTTGATGTATCCTTCATGGAATGGGTGTATCCCATTGCTGTATGGCACTCCATGGCGTCAGGGCACCTGGAGCTGCTCAGTGGGGCTCGGCAGCCCACCAGCCCGCCCAGCGAGGTATGTCACCAATAAGCCCTAACATGCCATTATCCTACACCATTGCTTAATTAGTGGGTTTATAGGCGATTAGTCACCTGATCCCAGGGCCCACCTCCAGCTAATCTCAGCTGAACACAGGCAGGGAACACCTTTCTGCCTCAGGGCTGAGAAACAAACTGGTGCCTCGTGCCTGTCGCTCAGGTAGCCAGTCCGCAATTAGGGACATGAAACAACTTCCCCTCAGGGACAGCAAGTGTCTGAAAGGCACCAGGCTGAGCTGGCAAATCACCCACAGGTGCCAGACACCAACACTCAGACCCGACAGCACTCGGCCTGACGGCGTCCTCCAAACCCACAGCTCCTGGACTGCCACAGGGGAAGGGGGAGGACCATCACCATCCACTGAAATCCCATCCACACCCATGAACATGGGCAGATGTGTTAATTTTTGTCAGTCTTCCTCATCACTGAAATCTATTTGAATTGGTAATAAATTTAATCTTTCCCAGTTGAGTCTGGTTTGCTTGTGACAGTAACTAGTAAGTGACTGCCTTGTCTTTGTCTCAATCCATGAGCTTTTTCATACTATTTCCCTCCCCATCATGTTGAGGAGGAAGAGATAAAGAGCAGTTGGCCCAGGTCAGCCCATGAGACCAGGAAAGAACAGGCAATGTTCACCAAAATGCAGCTTTGCAAGAAGAACTAAAACCTTGGGTGGAATTTTTTTTTTTTTTTGTGAACCAGCACAGCCACCCTACACAAAAACAACTGTACAAGATGCTTATGGGACATAGTTTTTCCCTCTTTTCAGGCCAGCAATCCTGCAGTAGGAGTGAGAAGAGACCCAGATGACAAACTCAAGGATTTCTCAATAAAGGAAGAGTTAGATTTGCAGCAAAGGATCATATTTACTGAAACTGTTATTGATTACATCTAATGGCAAGAATAGGAATCCAGATTGTTGTATTTATTTAAGATTACAACTTGAGTATTAGTAGCCTTCGACAGCTTTAAAATGTTCTGTCACTCCTTCCACCAAGAAGTTACGATTCTTGTCTTTCCATTAAGCAAAGACACTTACTTTATTAATTTATTTCCATGCACCCCAATTCCCACAGATGAAATGCATCACATCTTCAAAAAACCCTTGACAGAGTTCTTTTAAAAGTGCTTTCATTTATCAGAAGGGGTTTTCAGAGCTATTATCAGCTCTTGCAGGTACATCAAGTACAAAAGCAGCAGCAACAGTCTGGCATCTTGTTCACAGCAACAACCCGCCTAAACTTTTGGGGCAGGGGGAAAGAGACAGAGAGCTGCTCCATAGTAAAGCAAATTCAGAATCTACTTTTGGCTATTTCAGCTAGAGAGGGAGGAGAAAAAAGAACCAGGCAAGTAGTGCCTTGGTTTCATCTCACAGGTTATCAAAGCAAGAGCTGTATGCCTTC